GTCTTCCCTGAAGCCGAATTGTCTATTATTTGAGATATCTAATTTTTTGAGATGTTCAAACAGTCTTGAGTTCAAGATGTGCTCCAAATTGTTTTCCACTTGATGGTAGCAGACTGATGGCTTGAAACTGACAGTAAGTTTCTGGTTTTTGCGCGATTTCAGAATAGTGATGATGACAAATTTTTCCCACTGTTGAGGAAATAGTTATTGCAAATTAAGCATTAAAATATTTGTGAGTAAAAATAAAGCATCTCCGGGGAATTGATTTAAGAGCCTCATTTCTGATGTTATCAAATCTTTTAGCTTCCCTTATGATCCACTTACTGATAATGTCTCTCATCTCTCTCGGAGAAGCGTATGCGATGACATTGTTAATTTCCTTTGCAGAAATATGAAAACTAAATCTTCAGTTTCCTCATCATGTTGTGGGATCGCTGAATCATTTGGAGAAAATAATTCTGAAAGTTCTTCGGCCATGATCTTAGCAATCTTGTAGGTACTTGTAAATCACAAAGATTTAGCTATTGGGCAAACCGAATTTGGAAAAAAATCAATACAAAGGGTGTTTGGACACTTGTAGAATGCTTTCGGGGCGGTTTAATTAACGCTTAAAATGTAAAAAGTATTTTTTTAAATATTCGATCTGACTGCACTTTTTCTGGACTATATACGTCTGCGTCGTGATTTCATGAGGCGTAAAGCTTAAAGAAATGGCTTAACGTAAAAATCTCAGGGGTATCGACTTCCACTATTTTCAAGAGTCCGTTAAAAGTTTTCAACTAGAAAGAACTCTTTTCAAGAGCCTAGATGCCCAATAGACCATACGTGAAACGTCACGTGACTTTTTAGGAATACGGTGAACACGTATATGTGCAATACCTGCATCAGTCATCATTTTTGCAAGGAATGCAGTGATATTTTTCGAAGTGTGATTTGCTGCTGTGTTTTGATTAAGTTTCACTCTTTGAAATTCATTGGGATAACAAAATAGAATTTCTTCTGTAAATATTGGTGGTAAAATTTTCTCTTGATGGTGCGTTGATTGATTTTTAATACCTTTTATCTTATATTTAATTTACGACTGTAAATGAAACCGGCGACAATCATAAACCCCTCACTGAAACTTTCTTTGCATTGATGGAATCATGTACATTTGTACATTTTTTCTCTTCGTTTCCGATAATTAACAGATTTTTTTTTCAGTCTTTTAGGTTAATCCATGCTTCATCAAGGGTCACAATGTGTTTCCGTTTATCTCCTGCTAAATATTTTTCATGCGAGGCTCTGCAAATTATTCTGCTATGAGCTATATCTCTACAAAAACTGATGAAAACTCTGTTTTTTTTGGGGGGGAGGGGGGCATTTTATAGTGTAAATCTGCGTTTATGATTTTGTTTATTATTGCTAGAGATGTAATTAAAGGAATTGATTTCTGCGTCAGTAGATGTTATCTTTATAGATCAATTAGTCATTTTAACAGTTCCAAAAGATGAAGCAATGTTGATAATGCGCATTCAGGCAATCAAATTTGCGATCTGATAACAGTGAGGTTAATGTTTAAATGTGAAATGGAGAGATTTTATTTATCATATAATCACAGAACTATTAAATTTGGTAAAATATATAAAAGAAGTATTAAATGCTATGTCAAAATATATTTACTAGAAAATCTGAATTTTATAATGAACGTATCTAAAAACTTTTTTTAAGTCAAAAGTTTGAAACTTGATAGCTAAATGTAAATGTAATAAAATATTTGTAATTCGACATATAAGTCAGCTCAAGTTTTTTTAAATAGGGTAAAGCATGCAAAGGCTGTCTGCCTAAAGGCAGAGATGCCTTTGTGGAGGACTTTCGAAGGAAAATTGCCTTTGAGCGCGTATTCAAAATAATGCATGTAATTTTTATTTAATTTAAACACATTTTTTGTGTCAAAAATTCTGATATAGGCTAATTTTTTAAAGTCCTTGAAAAATAAAGTGAATACACCGAAATTAAATATTTGCACGTACCGGAAAGGAAAACTATTAAATATATATGAGTATTTATGTAAATCCTTGTAAAACGCATACATTTGTCTTTAACAAAATACGTAAGTATTTATTAAATCATTTATTATAAGTTTGTTTGGAAATGAAGGATTTGTTTATTCATAAACTCCTGTGAATGTTTTTGTAAAGAAATCTAATTATTAAATATATCTAAATTTATGATTATTATAAATATGATCTAAATATGTAATGAACGTAACATTTAAATGTAAACATGAATTGAAATTCTGTTAACAAATATATTTATAAAATTATTTAAGAATTTTTCGTACTGGGAAGCAATCTGTTAAAAGATGTCGTAAAGCACAATGAAATGCGTACTTAAGGAGGTAGTAAAGTAGAATTTTAAGACTGCGTATTGTTGATATCAAAAGTAAAAAAAAATTGATAAGTATTAAAGGAATTATTACCTTACATTTCATAATAATAAAGATACAGGTTTTAAAAAATATTAACAAACCCGCTTTCCTTTTCAGAAATATTCATAAAAATTAAGTACATGGAATAATAAATAAAGAACAATATTTAATACCTTTAACTATTAAAATAAAAGGTGCTCAGAGTTGTTTTATACGTGGATTAAAGCGACATTTGTATTATACTGTTACCTATGGTACATTGATGTGTGTTGCAACAGGCTAGTATGATAAAACCCTAAAACAATATTTTTAATATTCTTTCCTTTTTTTTACCCTTAAATCCCTAGATATTACAGCCTTAATCCACAGAAAGGTAGAATGTGATTAAATTTAAATGTGAAGAGTAACAGCACTTGCCACAAATATCTGTATAATTCGCTGAAAATTGTAAATTATTCAAAAAATTAGATTTTGTTTTTAAAAGATATCTAAACAGATTATCTTTTAACATGCAGCAACGGGACCTCGTGGATACCAAATAACAGATTGTTTCCGGTTAATTGAATATATATTTCTAAATATTGCTTGATTGTGGTTTGTGATGCTACCTGTAGAAACTGCAGCATGCGAAGCCCATTAGTTATGCTTTTTTTATATATCGCCTGCAATTAATTAACTAAATAATATCGAAAAATTATGCAGATTATTTAAAATTACAACACATACATATGATATTATGTATAAAGAAAGTAAAATTAAATGGCATTAAAAAAATACCATATATCTTATCAGAGCAGAGCAGCGGTCGAGCGGTAAAATCGCTGAATACTGGATATTTCAACCTGGGTTAGATTCCAAGCTAACGGGCTGGCTTCATGGGGATTTTGGAGGCTTCCTCATGTCTAAGTATAGTCGAGTCAGTTTCCATGAAAGCATGTCGTCCCTTAGGTAGATAACAGTCACGTGCTTTGCCGTAATTAAATAAGCAAACCAAACCATATACCTTAACACATGGAAGTTATATATTTCTTAGTGTGAGGGACTATAACTTCGAATCTTCCGGTGAACCCCAAAGAGGGCTTGTGGCATTAAAGTCTCCTGCAACAATTTTGATGCGAACCGGAAGTGCAGCTACATATTCTAGTTCAGTCAGTGCTAATGTGATATCATGTGAAGGCGGAATATAAACACTTGTGAAAGCTATGTTCCCATTAGGGCTTACAAGCTGAATGGTGATTGAGTATCCAGCTTCGTACATTAGTAAATGGTGTGAGCGGACCGTTGTACACTACTACTGCTAGATTACTGGTTTACTGAAATACTTTGAAAGAACTCATTCCTACAATTTTTCCATTTGAGGTGTAATTTTCTTGCAGTAGGGCAGTGGAAAGTTATTTTCCATTATAATTTGGGTTGCGTTGTTTGTTGCACCTTGGCATGTCTGGAGGTTCCCCTGTAGGACGGAGAAACCGTGAAGACTCTTGTGTACAAGACCCTGCATTTTGCTTAATATTGGTAAGCTGCTCTGAGGCGACTGAGCTCTGCCTTGTATGCTGGGCATATTCCTGCACTTGCCGAATGTGTTACTTCGTATGTTGTGCCTAGTTTCTTATTCGAATCTTCGCAGTTAATACAATGATGTGTAGTTGTAGTACACTTGCCAACTGCGTGTCCTTTACCACAGGTAGCACAGGCGGGGGATGCAAGTGTCTGATGTTGCCTAGGTTTTGGCAGTTGTAACACCTCTTTACTTTGAAAAGTTGTCCAAACGTGCACGAGCTAAAATCAATGAATACACGGGTGTGGTCTTTTACAAGGTCAAAACTGCTGGTGTGAATATCGATTAGTCTCGAAACGGCACTTTGCGTCGAATCACTATAAATGGCTGTATCACTTTTCAAATCGTTGCCACCAAATATTATTATTGCCCTGTATTGTATTTAAAGAAATTAAATAATGAAGAATTTGCATGAATGTATGTATGGTTTTTCTCATTGTGAAAAAAACAACGATACCTAGAGTCTATTTTAAGATTTACTAGTTATTATCTAAATATTGCACAAAAGAGGAAAGGAAACACAATAAAATAATTACGAGTGATTGTAACGTAGTTCTCCACCCGAACATGGCCCCTGTACCGAATCATAGGAACCCGAATCATGAATTTCTAATTTGTTTTATTATCTATCTCTTATCTTTCAAACTCTAAAAAATTTTCGATTAAGAAATTCGACGACTTTAAAGCTAGCAGTGGCAACACACTGTGCGGAATAAAATATTTTTATCTCCAGCATGCGACACTGTCTATTGGAAGTTCTACAGGTATGCTGTTTTAAAATATTTTTAGCCCAAAAGGGAGTTAGACTAATGCTCCCGAAACGTGTCTGTATGCGTAAATGAAAAAAAACACCCCTTTGGGCGTAACATAAAATCTGAAAGCATTGGTTACACTGTGTGAAATATTAAATTTTGAGGAATACTTATAAAATACCCACGGATAAAATAACTTATTCTTACGTAAAATCTGAATTAATAATTCCAAGTGCTTTAAGAGTCGATAGGTTTTAATCGGATTTATTTCTCTTCTCAGCTGCTGTTAAAGGAAATACTTACAGAGAAAGAAATTCTTATCCTCTATTCCGGTTTGGAAATTCATGGGATTATGGACAAGATTTTAGCGACTGGATATTAGCAGAGGGCTACAATGACTCCAGCAGCAGTGAATCGGATGAAAGTACATCAGAAATTAACAAGTCATCTAATGAGTCAACTCCTATCCAACTGAAGGATAAAGACTACCGAGATTCATCAGAAGGTGAGTATATAGAGCTCAGTTCTGAGGCTCAATCAACAGGAAATTCCACTATCATGCGTACCTCTGAGGATAATGCAGTTGCCTCTACGACCCCATTAAACGCAACGCTGGAAAAGGAAAAAGAATCTTCTACCACTGCAGAAAAGATACACGTAACCAGCAGCAGTTCGCCAATTGGAAATTATTCCAAAGAAGACGAAGTTTCGTTTGTTTCAACACCGACTACATCAAAAATCACCAACTATGGAGCTCAGGACATATCCCCAAATTCTACATTGAAAATGTACAATTCTACCTCTGCAACAGAATCTACTTCTTCAACACAAGTTACATCAGCAAATTCATCCGAAGAGATTCCTTACACAGCTACACCTGGCGATCATTTAAATACAACCATATCTCCAATAAAAATATCAGACACAGAAAATGATAGTGATGCATCTTCATTTACATCTCTTTCATCGTTAAATGTCTCCACAAATAGTCCGACTGTAACATCAGTGATAAATACGGATGAAACAAGAAACTATGAAACACATACAACAGTTTCCAATAATGTAACTGCAGACGTATCATTTTCATCGCTAAATGTATCCACAAGTAGTCCTACTGTAATATCAGTAACAAATACAAATGAAACAACAAAGGATGAAACACGTACAACAGTTTACAGTGATGTAAATTCATCCGCATCATTTTCATCACTAGATGTATCCACAGATAGTGCTACCGTAATATCAGTGCTAAATACAGAAGAAACAACAAGCGATGAAACACATACAACAATATTCACTGAATTAACCTCAGGCGCATCTTTTTCATCTCTAGACATATCTAGCCCTGCAGTAATATCAGTATCAAATACGGAAGAAACAAAAAGCGATGAAACATATACAACAGTTTCCCCACAGTCAACGTATTCGCAATCATCATCAATAGGGTCAAAGTCATCTTCAACACAGTTAGTGATCAAAACTACAAAATTGGCTGAAATTGCAACTGAAGAAGAAAAATCAGAAGTTATTACCGAAGCAATATCACCATTGTCGGAAGGTGCAAAGAACAGGTCTCTAAAACTTGTCGTCTCAGTAGTGTTTTTAATCATAGCTCTTGTATCAATGGCTGTGCTCATTACTTACGTGATTCGCACTAAGCGGATGGATGTTCAGTATGATGAACTTACACTTCTACCATAGTGATGCATTGTATCTTTCGAAGCCACAAAACTAATTTAGATGGAGCTGAAACTTTCTAACTTTCTGCTGACATTATTATTATTATTATTATTATTATTATTATTATTATTTGCTACATATATATACATGGGTTTTTAACAAATGAGTTCTTAACAAGATAAAAATTTTGCAATTTTTAATTGTTAAAAGTAACGTCTGTCAACTTTGAAAATGACTTGCACTGGAGACCAATTTTCAAAAAGATGTATTTATTTGGAGTTTGTGTGGTTATCAGTAATTGCCCACGTTTACTCAAATGGTTGTATTTTTCTATGAGCTTGTGTTACAGGTGAAAGAGAATATGATACTTTCTGAAATATTAAGTGATTTGTATCGAAGCATGTAAGAAATGACATTAGAAATATATGTACCATTAAACGTAAAAATGCTCTCATAAAATCATAAGTTGGATATATTATAAATCATATCACTTAAATGTATTATTGAAAAATAAAAATATAAAAATTATTAAGAAGTGTTTCTTTCCTTTAAATCTTTCAGCTGCTAGTTCGCGTAGAAATCCTCCAAAAAATCTAACTCCCAAGAAGCTATTTGAGCGACTTAAAATCCTTAACCTTCTTCTCCATTAGTTTCCGACATAAATTCTTTTCTTGCTTTAATTCCAGACTATAATATTCAAATTTCATGGATTAAAGGATATAGTGGCCATTTTGGAAATGATCAAGAAGATGATTTAGGCAAAGAAATAGTTCTTGATAAAGATGGATTTAAATCATTCTTCCATGGCCTCGTTCAGATTTCAAATACCAACCAAAACAATTTGTTTCAAAATATTGGCAATTACTATACAACAGGACATGGCCCCTTCCTGGCATATTTATAAGCAATAAATATCACAAACTCCGACATCTGTATATGTAAAGAACAAGGAATTCCTGATCATTTCACTTTCCTAAATGAAAATAATCACATAAAATTTCTACCAACTGATCTCTTGGATTCAAAATTTCTAATTAAGGATAAACATCAGTATCCTAAATTTCAAAAACAAAAAAAAAAAAAAAAAAAAAAAATATGAAGCGACTTTCTTCCTACTGCATAGATCTTTGTCAAATATAAGTTTCTCATGCTGCATAAATTTAATGAACTTTTACATTATAAGAATATGTTCAAAAGGATTCCACTTATGAACTTAATAAACTGTAATAACCTGCTCCAACATATCATTTTATTACAGTATTTTTTATTACAGTATTTTTACAATAACAGTATTTTTTTTTTCAAAATTGTGTTAGCTTCTAATCAAAATTATTTTCTGCATTCCTAATTTTTGCGTTATCAAATTCTTGAGCTATCGGATGCTTACCCACAGCGTTTGATGATGTTATTCTTAAACGAATTGATCCTATGTACACATCTTTAGTATTATTTGTAGAATTCACTATGACATTGTGTTCCTAGTATTTATTATATTTATCTCAGTAAGTTTATCAGTTACTTACTATGTTTATATGTTTTGTTTTACATTAAAACAGTTGTTCTCAATTTAATTTGCGAATTTCAAATTGTATTGAAATTACATTGTAATCTCTTTATGTCCTAAATCATTACTTTCAATAAATACGGGATACGTGGTGTACAGTGAGATTCCACGATGTACCACATTAAGTAAACTCTAGATGAGTGTTTCTCAACCGATGGTACGCAAGAGAAAAATGTGGCATGCGAAGAAGCAAAGTATTTTTAACTATTAAATTCAAAAATTAAAACCCCAACATCCTGATTGAGTTTGTTCTCTAACACTCGTAAATTCATGCGATCTGAGCTTTGCTCAAGAGGGGTGATGGTAGTAGTACTTTGTAGTGGTGGTACTAAAGGTTTTTAATTTTTGTTTAGAAGGTACGCGTTAGTCAAAAGGTTGAGAACCGCTGCTCTAGATCCTTTGGAAAACTTCAGTCTCTCCTCTCCTCAACCTTTCTTTGTAAACTTTTATAAATCTTGCAATTTTCTTAAGGTTAGTTAGTATAAGAAGACATTACCAGTTCACCCATGGTACATCACTGCTGTCCTCCATACTTTTGCATGTACCTGTATTTTGGAATTGCAACACTTACTGTGTCACCGTAAGATAAATGCATAGTAATGTAAAGTGATATGATGTGATGTAGTGGTTCACAATTTTGAATAGTCTGCACTGTAGTCGGTTATAATGTCAAACATTAAACGTTTCATATACAGTGTATTTCTCAAGTCATAGAATCATAGCTATGACTTGAGAAATACATCTCATCATGCTATGAGTTATTTTACGCCTCAGCATACTCCTTTGTGTTCGTAATGGTAACATAATCACTGTATTAACAATGCATAGTAAGAAGTGACAATACTGCGTTATTACTAATTTATTTTACCTTAAAGGGTAATGTTAGTTTCTTGTATTATTTCTGTAAAAATGCTGTTAATCGTTTTTGATAACTTCATTAGTAGAAATAATTAATTATACCTAATTATCTTTTGATTATTTTTGTTGTAAATGTTGCAGCTAAGAAGTATTTTTGTGCATTTTTTAAAATGTTTTTATTTGTATTTTCATGGATCTTAAAGAAAGGAGCATAAATTGTATTTTAATACTCCATATTGCATTCTTTGTATATTTTTTTGTAATTAATAAAAATTATTTGGTAAAAATTGTGGAGTAGTTGTTTTTAGCGATAGCTTTCAAATACAATTTTATAATTTAAATATAAGTACCTTGTACACAAAGTTCATTTAGCTCCACAAATTATTTTGCCGGTTAGCTTTCGTCAAAAACCTTCCAAGCGTTAAGCCATCCTGAAGTAACATTTACCTAAGTTCGCATAATTATTTATTTTATTCTTTGTTTTTGTAACCTTCCTCTCATTAGAATGGTATCCAGATCATTATAGAAAATAATAAACAAACCTGAATGTAGCTGTGTACAAAACCTGAATTTTCAGAAAACATGACCTGGAATTTAAAATTAAATATCGCGGTTGATTTTTGTCCGATGGAATCAAACTCTCCCTGTTTTATTTTTTAGAATGACGGCATAATTTAACTATACATGATTCTGGGATACGAATTCTGGGATCTGAAAAATTATTTTTCGTAATTTTTACAAATCAGGCTTTCTTAATCTAATCCCAAAACATGAATATTTGCACATTTAAAACATTTTTAGAATAGGAAGCACGTTTACGTTCAAAGATTGTAAAATGCATTAAAGACTGGAACACATTCCAAGCTAAAATGAAGAAATCAGAAATTTGTTCTTTAAAAAAAGTCAAATAAAATCCAAATATTAATTGCTGCGAAACTTATAGAGAATTTATTACAAAGGTTTGCAACAAAAGTGAATCCTGAAACTGTTAGATGAATCATTAGAGCATATGCATACAGTGGGCCATCAGCAAGAGAGAAATTCTTTACCAACAAGCAAAACAACGAACGTAAGCCTGACGTTAGCAAAATCCATAGTAAGCAAAGATTTATCACACTAAAACAATGTTATATTTGCAAAGGCACTTTGCTCCGACGGACGAATTGCTGTATGGCAACGTGAGTTTATTATGTACTGTTAAGCATGTTGGTGGAGACATAATGATGTGGAAACGTGCCATCCCTTCTGTGAAGGGAAATACAGTTTTTATGAAAAATAACATGGATGAGTTTAAAAATATAAATAATTCTAATGAAAACATAAATCATGTGCTTCGAAACTTCGAATTCAAAAAAAAAAAAAAAAAAAAAAAAAAAAAATTTATCAGGAACGCTATCCTAAATATGTAGAGACATTAAGATATTTCGAAACAATAGATGTGCAAAATGAGCAAAGCTCCGCCGGGGCTCGAACAACGATACGCCTCGAGCGTGCTAACCACTACAACACGAAGGCATGCCAAGAAGGCTGGAGAAACATTTTATATACTCTCCCATTTAAAGGGCGACTGGGTGTTAGGGGACCCAACCGCCAAATCCTGATGGTGAAGAATCATCATCCACCACCTTTTTTGTTCACGCGCCACTGTAGAGACATTAAGTTACTTCGAAGCAAGAGATGTGAAAAATGAGCAATGACCTCACCGGGACTCGACTTACGGACCTCTCGAATATGTGCCGAGCGAACTAACCACTACACCACGAAGGCATGCTAAGAAGGCGGGAGAAATACCTTATAAATATACAGTCTTAAATGTTCGCTTTTGGTGTGCTACAACTATCCTGAAATTCCCAAAACTCATCCGGACTTAAATCCTTTCGAATATATATGGAGTAAAAGAAAGAATAGGGAAATCATTTCTTAGAAAGCTCTACTAAAAGCAATTCCTATGGAGGAATAGTACTAAACAGAACGTTCTGACACGAAACAAATGAGTTGAATCCATGCCAAAAGTGAATAAAATGTGCAATTTTAGCTAAAGAATATCCAACAAAGTATTGAATGTCCTATTATTTTCGTATTTTTACTAATTATATACTGTTTGCGCCAAGTGCCGGGATACTTAAAGTTCATTTGCAACACTTCTCAGAAAGTCATTTTCTTTTTATACATTAAAAACGCTTTGAGTAACATTTTTCAAAACAAAAATTGTTTAAAAAATGTGATTAATAGTATATGTGAAATAAATATGTATTTCACTAGTATTTATTAAGTGAAATTTGCAAATTCAACTGGAAAACACAAAAGTTAGAAAACAAATGTGAGTCACTGTAGAAATTCCTCATTTATTAATTTTCACGAGTAAATAAAAGTTTGGTGGCCCACTAAAATTTACAGGCCTATCAGATCACCAATTAAAGATGAGTTATCTGTTTATCTCGGGTTCTCATATTTCGTTGCTGATTCGTATACACTACGTAAAACAATTTCTCAGGTCAAGGTCACTTTGACGAAGGTCATTAATCAACTGAAACCCTTCAATCGATATAGCTGATCAGCAGTTCTCATCAAAATAATTTAGGCTGTATTTCGCATTACGCATCTTGTACGTGGTTACATTTATGAGTGAATTGCTTTCATTTTTAAGAAACTTAATTTAAGTTTTTAAATTTCTTCATGATACGTAGGGCATAAAACAATTATAAAAACTAAATTCCCGTAATAAGTGTTTACGATATTGTTTATCACAGTTCTATCTGTTGACGGAGATATTGTTGTTTTCAAAAGCTTGAGCTATGTTTGCACTTCTGCTTCCAATTATGGACATGCGAAGGGTATTTCTTATTTCACAATTTAGTAAAAGCATACTATTTAAAAATACACACACAAAAAAAAGAGTAAAATTTATATACGAAGTTTATTATTAAAACGGTAAAATCTAAATGACTTCGAGTTATTTGTTTGATATTAGAAAAATATATTAGTGCAAGTTTACGCTTTCAAAATAAACAAAATTAATAAAATTTACGTGTAAAACTTATTACTAAAACGGTAAAATTTAACTGTTTCAAATTATTTATTCGATGATAGAAGTATTATATTAGCAGATGCTTACTGTTTCAAAATATACAAAGTGAATAAAATTTACATATGAAACTTACTATTAAAAGGGTAACATATAAAAGATTTCGAATTATTTATTTGATAATAAAAGTATAATATTAGCAGAAGCTTACTGTTTCAAAATACGCAAAAAGAATAAAATTACACATGAAACTGGTTACTAAAACGGTAAAATCTAAAAGGTTTCGAATTATTTATTCTTTAATAGATGCATCACACTTCTGAAGGACTTATGCCATTCACAGCTTCAAACTGTCTTCTGAAGGAACTCTTATGCCATTCACAGCTTCAAACTGTCTTCGCGCCATTTTCATGATGTCTCACTACTGCTTATCCTGCACTCTTACTAGCTATATTGCACTCATCATTTGCATTCTGCCAGTTACAGTATGCAACCTGTCTGCATGCTTCAATTTAATGTCATTGCTTATCACAATTTTTATGATAAACACAATTTTTATGATCACAATTTTTATGATAATTTTTATGCACAATTTTTATGATAAACGCCTGCTTTCGTAAGTATTAAGATATGCCTGCTCACGCAGCTGAATTTTTTTCGCCCACGGGTGTTGGTACTTTTCTAGTGC